GAGGTTTCATATTGGGAAGTTATCTAAAGAAGTATTTCCTAATTTCCGATTTCACCAGATACTTGCAATACTACGTACACGTTTATCACCCAATCGATTAAGTTCTCAATAAGCGCGTAGTTTTCATGATTCATCACGTATTTTCGCTTCGTTTAACCATCCTAAGCAATAATCCATTTATTTAGCTATTTACTTTGTCTCAGTGTGACATTCCAGGTCAGGTAACTGCTTTTTCATGTCCCTGGGCCGAATCCTCCGATCGACCGATGCGAATGGATCTGGGAGATTGTCTGCCACGTGATTCCCGACCGGAGTCCCGATCACTTGGACCCGTTCATCTTCCTAGTGTACTAAACCAAATACTCACAGGCTATCGGTCACGATCTGCGTTTGGACCGGAAGTGGATCTTAACAGTAACGCAGTTGTAAATCGTGAATCGAATTCACGACAAAAACCGTATGTGCCCTTGGTCGACCCGTTCAACGGTACGTTTTGATCGTCCTGTTGCTTGAATTCCGAAATCAGTTATTTATTTAACTTGGTCCTGACCATATTTGGGGGCAGACGCTTTTATTCAAAGTATGCAAATGGATAATTCCTAATGTTTTGTTTCTCTGCCTGCATGCCAAAATTATACGGACGACCAATCTTTTCCACTCACTTCAGGCACTGAAGAAAGGGGAGGATATCTGGACTTGACGGAATTCCCCCTACTGCTTTTAAATGGGGAGTGGTCCTCTCGTGTAACCTGCTACTAGTTTATTGCACCACATGTGATCAGATAAGTGTACCTCTTCATTCTGGGGCGAATCACTGATCCTTCCGGTTTTCAAAAGTCGATCACATTCAGTCAGTCAGTAGTAGCTTTATGCACCCGGATGAGTGTATTTTCAGCAATTACACCATATTTGTGGATTCAAATTTACAAAATTATTACATGATGAAACTGAAAGCAATGAGGTGTTTGTCAATGAAGCAATTCTGTGGAAATTTTGTCCTTGTCTATAAGTAGACGTGCTAGATATGGCAGAACAGAATTACGGTGAGCACAGGGACGTACAAATAAAAGTTTAAATCTTGAGCGTGTGGATGATGTAGATACAGTTTTTGAAAATTCATTGTGTAATGGGTGGTGAGTGTCTGAGAGTATTTGGGCGGCGAAATTTTCACATGATATATTCGGCAAGTTTATCCCTGACAATACCACTACATTTAGAGGTGTGTTTCAGAGATCTCGCCAGTAAATAAAAGTCTTTCTTCAACAGACCGGGAAGAATTACTGAAGAGCAATACAACCAGTGGGGTAGCACGCATCTATTCACAAATCTAACAATCAGCTTGTGGGGAACAGAAAGTCATCTCAATCGGAGTGAGAAATATGAAAGTTTTCTAACTTTGCAGAAAGCGTTTTGAACGTGCAGTGACTATGATAAATTGTGTGATAGGGTGACGCTAAGGTATTTTACAATTTTTGATTTCGGTAGGGGTTGTTGATTTGCAGAGAGGGTGGGGAACCTATCTATAAGGGCTGAATATGGGACACCGGCCAAGA